TACTGCTATAACAAATGTCAATAAACTGCTAAACCTCATTAACAGTTATTGTTTCATGTGTCAATGTCACTCTCATGTGATACTGGTCAGTTTTTGGAGTCTTTGGCGAGTTAAGAGTGATTTCTTACTAACTGTGTTATGCAAAGTGGTATATGTGTTTTATGTACATTACCTGTGTTAAATCAGCTAGTTCTTTTTCAGGTTTGTCTTCTTCAATAAAACCCATAAAAAATATTCTCAGAGTGTCAAAGTGTTCTGGGTATAATCAGAGGTGTCACCAGATTCAGGTGGGAGCTGAACCTATATATCTAGCCAAGCATCACCCAAGGGTGTTCTGCATATATATATATATATATATATATATATATATATATATATATATATACACATATATACACACTGCTCAAAAATATTAAAGGAACATTTTGAAAACACATCAGATCTGAAGAGGGAAAAATATCATGCTGAATATCTACAACACCTGGCAAAAAAGTATGGAATCACCACTCTTGGAAAATGTTCATTTAATTGTTTTATTGTATAGAAAAAAATCTAATCACAGACATGCCTCAAAACTATTTAATGTTCCAACCTTCTGGCTTTAAGAAACACTTAAAAAAAGAAAACTGTAGTCAGTTGCAACTGTTTTTGCAGATCAAGCAGAGGAAAAAAATATGGAATCACTCAATTCTGAGGAAAATATTATGGTATAATGAAAAAAAAAAACTTCAGTACACCACTAGCACTTTGTTGCACCACCTCTGGCTTTTATAACAGTTTTTAATTCTCTGACGCATGGATTTAACTATCGACAAACAGTATTCTTCATTAATCTGGCTCCAACTTTCTCTTATTGCAATTGCTAGATCAGCTTTGCAGGTTGGAGCCTTGTCATGGACCATTTTTCACCATAGATTTCAATTGGATTGAGGTCTGGACTATTTGCAGGTCATGCCATTGACATTGAGGGGTTTATTTACTAAAGCTGGAGAGTCCAAAATCAGATTCCCTTCTGCATAGAAACCAATCAGCTTCTAACCTCAGCTTGTTCAATGAAGCTTTGGCAATGAAACCTGGAAGCTGATTGGTTTCTATGCAGAAGGGAGTCTGATTTTGGACTCTCCAGCTTTAGTAAATAAACCCCTGAATGTCTTTCTTTCCCTATGGCAAGATGCATTATTATCCTGTAAAATAATATCATCATCATCCCCAAACATCCTTTCAATTAATGGAATGAAAAAGTGTCCAAAATCTCAACGTAAAGTTGTGCATTTATTGAAGATTTAATGACTGTCATCTCCCCAGTACCTGGCATGCAACCCCATTTCATCAATGATTGTGGAAATTTGCATGTTTTCTTCAGGCAGTCATCTTTATACAATTGAGTGATTCCATATTTTTTTCCTCTGCTTGATCTGCAATTGACTACAATTTTCTTTCTTTTTAATTTTTTAAGTGTTTCTTAAAAACCAGAAGTTTGGAATGTTAAATTAAAATCGTTTTGAGGCATGTCTGTGATAATTTTTTTTCTAGACAATTAAACATTTGAATGAACATTTTGCAAGAGCGGTGATTCCATACTTTTTGTATACAGATATGGACTGGGTAATGTGTTAGGAACATAAGTATGCCCCATCGTTTGGTGGAAATGAAAATTATCAACCTACAGAGGACTGAATTCAAAAACACCATGAAAATCAAAGTGAAAAAATGATGCCGCAGGCTAGTCCATTTTGCTGACATTTCATTGCAGCAACTCAAAATGGTACTCAGTAGTTTGTAGGGCCCCCACGTGCTTGTAGGCATGCCTGACAACATCGGGGCATGCTCCTAATGAGATGACGGATTGTGTCTTGGGGTATTTCTTCCCAGATCTGGACCAGGGCATCACTGAGCTCCTGGACAGTCTGAGGTGCTACCTGGCGGCGGCGGATGGATGAAAACATGATAGCCCAGAGGTTTTCTATTGAATTTAGCTCAGGCGAGCGTGGGGGCCATTCAATGGTATCAATTCCTTCATCCTTCAGGAACTGCCTGCATACTCTTGTCACATAACGCCAACATATAACCAAACATTTCTAAGGAGTATAATTAATATTTTAGCATGGATCTTTAACCAATGTTTCATAATAAAGATGCTAATATACCAAAGATTAAGATTGCAAATCATGCTACATCCACACCAGGAATATAATTATATACCCTCTAATTAAAGTGAGATATTTAAAATAATTTGGAGATGAAACTATTTTATTTGCTATAGATTGAATCAAATAATCCAATTTTATTCCCAGAAGACCTAATATAGGGATTTCTAGTCTTAAAGTGCCATCTGGTCGGCAAATTAAACTACTAGCTGTGCAAACAATTAGTTAATCAGTAATGTTACTCCCTAATCATAGAAGAGTAAATATTCCAAACTACATCATCTGGGCTGATCCCTAGTTCTTAGAATTTTTGGGAATATCAGGGAAGATTGAGAAGAGAACTAGGATCACAATCTCATCTTGACCATCATTTTCTCTATGGAGCTTCATCCTGATCTTCAGTTTCTTCTTAAACATCACCATCTTGATCACTATCTGAAGGACCATCTAAAGAACTTTCGTCTGATCCCCAATTAAAGAGCTTTGATCTCTCTTCTGAACATCAGCCCTACTCAGTGCCTCTCCAGGTCATAGCTAAGCAGCTTTTCACAGGTGTGGCTCCAAACCCAGTGGGGTTTATTTACTAAAGCTGGAGAGTCCAAAATCAGACTCCCTTCTGCATAGAAACCAATCAGCTTCTAACCTCAGCTTGTTCAATGAAGCTTTCGCAATGAAACCTGGAAGCTGATTGGTTTCTATGCAGAAGTGAGTCTGATTTTGCACTCTCCAGCTTTAGTAAATAAACCCCAGTGTGTCTGGTAAAATGTGTTTCTATAATTGATTTGGAGAATTCTTGCTTCTAAGGATAACCACCTGTGTATTATTATCTGAGTGATAGATTTTTGTCTGCTTAATGTGATATTCCACCTACAGTATCATAATCCCTAGGGATTAAATCAATAAATTTAAGTTGTATTAGCACACCCTGTAGATAGACTTGGCCCTTTTTGTTTGCTAAAGAGGCACAAAGAGCACAAACTGATAAATGTTGACCTAGTCATCTGCTAGGTTAGTTAGTCTAGTGGTACTCGGCTATGATATCAAAGAGTGAAAATTAAATTGTTCAACTCACTCTCGTTCCCAAGCATATCTACGTTAGCCTTGTAGGTTGAGGTATTTCATTGTGGATATAAATTTTATTTGACTACGTTATACTATTAATCTTGCTGCTATATGTGATTGTTAGTGACTAAATTGTAAAATGAATCTTAAAGCGATTCTAAAGGTTCATTTTTATTTGTGGAAAATAACAAACATGTCTTTACCTACTGTGTGCGGTGGTGTTGCACAGAGCAGCCTGGATCCTCCTCTTCTTGGGTCCCCCGCAAACTCTCCTGGCCCTCTCTCCTGTTGGGTGCCCCTACAGCAAGCAACCTAAAAGTATGATATCACTGACTGACACTTAAAACGGAACTATACTCACCTAAACTCCAGCGATACCCGCATCCCAGAGCTCCCTGCCCAGCCACTGACATATTCCAGCATCCGGCTTCCGAGTCTCAATTGCCAGCTGCTGTCATTGACCGAGGAATGCCATCACTCTGGTACATGTGCGGGGGTTCAGTCAGATTCGGCATTGCTGAATTTGCACAGTGAGTGGCACATGCGCAGCTCACTGTACCAGGGATGACAGGTGGGTTAGTAGCTTTAAAGTGTTACTAAACCAAGGACCCTGCATTCACTCCATCCGGTCTCCCACAGTACACAGTACATGAAAGTGCAATTATTTTAGTAATAAACTTCTAAATACCTTTTCTCATCAGCAGTTAGAGCAGTCTTGTGACTTCTATCAGTGTCCAGCAGAGCACTGGTTAAAGCTTGTAGGAGGAGTTTAATTTCTGTTCTAGGAGGATGCAAAACCCTTGACCTCTGTCTGGACAGTGCACTCTCTCAAGAAAAAAAAACCTCTCTAGCAATACACACCAAACTGAGCATGTGCAGAGTGTCTCCACATGATATGTCTTATCAAGAGATAAGAGGGGGACACTGGAAGAAGGGGAGGATCAGAGAGGTGAAGATCAAACAGCTTTTTTACACAATGCAGATGATTAACCCTTTAGGTTCCACAGTGAGTATAACAAGCATGCTTTACATCATATAAAGACTGATTTTACTGTTGTGGGTTTAGTAACACTTTAATGCAGAAGAGACAGAGCACACGGTAGTTCCAGGCACACGGTAGTTCCCTGTCATTCAAGTCAGAAAACAGGTAGTGCATGTCTTATTGCAGTTTATTTCCTAGTTCAAACTTGGATGGGGTGATCTAATCTAGATTGAAGTCCCCAAGCCCTAAATAGAGTTGGGACCCCAAAAGTATTTTTTCAGTGCTATAGCTGGCCACCCAGGGGGGGCATCTGACCTCAGGCTGCATCTTACTCCCCCAGGAACAAGAGACTGATGTTCTAGGCCCCAGACTATCTATACCCCTTCTAGCCCCCTACTGGTCACTCACTCTCCTGGCCAGGGGTTGGCTGAGAATGTATGAATATGCAAGCCAGGATCAGACTCTCCCACCCATTATATTAAATTCAGTGGGATGCTGGGAAAGTAGTGGAGCCTGTACTAGCAGAACCCAGACCAGCTAAAGCAAATAATTACTGCTTCCTGGCTATAGGGATGCCAAAAAAGAAATTTACCTAGACACTAGCAGCCTAACTATGTGGGCACTACATAATAGAGAGTGGTAAGCTGTAATAATGTGAATTATAATGGAGAGCAGTATGCAGTAGTACTGTGAAATATAATGGGAAGTGAATAGCAATATCCTACTTAATACCTAAGTGATACCTCTTTTTCTAGAGATTATGCCTGAAAAAGGCTTCCGCTAACCATCTCCTGTTGTATGTACATCCTCATTAACCACTTTCGGGCCACCCGCACGCAATGTACTGCAGACGGGTGTCACCTACAGGGCCATCAATGTACTCGTACATCACTGATCTTTTGCCAACACAGGGGGATGCTACTCGCCCGAGCAGGCACGCAGCCATACTCCCCCACGTCTGCTGTGTCCACCAGAAACAGCAGAATGAGAATCCCGGTAATCCTGACCTGGTGATTACGTGATCTCTATGCAATCACATGACCAGAATGACAACAAAGCCTTTATGAATCAATCTGATTCATAAAAACTTTGCTTTTGTTCCTGGACAGCTGTGATTGGTCCACACCTCTCACGACACATAGGGCCAACTACTGCACCCTGTACCATGTGATCAACTGGAGCCAATCACAGATCACCATTATATTGAACTGTCATGAACTTAACCTATTCATGACAGTTCAAAGCAAGGTTTGCATTTCAGAGCAATGATCTTCATTTCAAATGCAATGCAAAGTGTAAAAAAAAAAAATCCCTGATCATCCCTCCCTAGAGTAGTACAATGTTACTATGGTAACATTGCAGAACTCTGATGAAAGTATTTTGCGTGTGTGCGTGCATATACGTGTGCCCCCCGCTGCCCCCTATGCCATCCAGGGAGAGAAGAATGAACACGGCACTGAATAAAAGCACAAAATTTTACATGCACACGTTAGATTAGCACATTTAACCCCTTTGATCGCCCCTATTAACCCTTTGGGACACCCAGCCAGTGCCATTAGTACAGTGCCAGTAGAATTTTTCACTGATCACTGTATTACTGCCACTAGCAACATCAGATAGCGTCAGGGTCAGTTAGCGCCCCTCCCAGTCAGGGTCAGCTAGCGTTAGATTGCCCGCACACTATTGCACTCACGCTATAGGTCGCTGATCACCCCCATTACTAGTATAGTGTTTGTACAGGTCAATATATTGATCACAAACAGAACTATACTAGTGCCGCCTTTGTTTAGTGTCCCCAAAAACGCAGTGTTAGCAGGATTGGCCCCATTCCCTTTCAGCACTAGCGTTTAGCCCCTATGCTGTTTTTCACAGAAGATTTGTATCAATTGACTGTGGGCCAAAGCAGTTTATATGCACAATACATAGCCGCCCACCCAAATTCAGCTCTTGCCAGACAATTCACATGGAAACCTATCACAGTTTCTGAATTTAAAACTTTTTTGGGCTTAACCCTGAACATGGGCATTACAAAGAACAATGGATTGCGGTCATATTGGTCTACAGACCAGATTCATCATATGCCCATCTTCTCTGCTGTTACATATATGCCCAACATGGACCAGCAACGTTCTGGTACATTGCTGGGCTTTGAGTGGTTATAGCAGGATGATGCCTGCAGCTACAGGCATCATCCTGGTATAATTTTTTTAAGCTGGCAGTTGGCTTTCATGTACAAACAATCCTAGCCACTAATTAGCCACTGGATTGCTTTTACGAGGAGCGGGAAGGGACTCTTCCACCCCTCCCGCCACCTTCCAAGGTTTTCTTGGGCTCTCCTGCACCACTGGGGAATCCAAAAATGCAGCCGGCAGTTCCACTGGCTGACAATAGAGCTGATCAGAGACTGGAATGCCTCCAATCAACTGTATGGCCTAAGAGACCAGAAGCTACGAGCATTTCATCATTTCCATTTCGCCAGATATTAACAGTGCTATTTTAAAATTGGGAAAGCATCTGGTCATACCATTCTTGGTGTGATCCGATGCTTTAGGGTCAGAGGAGAGATCTAAAGTCTAATAGACCCCAGATTTCTCAGAAAAGAATACATGTCACTGCCTATTGCTTTCACAGGGGATACAGTATTTACATTCCCAGTAATAACAATAAAAGTGATTGAAAAAGAAGAAAGGTACAGTGTAAAAGTAACAAAGGCAAAAGAAAGCGGCGGACCCATGGCGGTATGTAAACAGAGATTGCACCATGCATGTGGGGTATCACCACAAACATCAGATTGAGGGCAGTAATTCCAGCACTAGACCTCCTGTGTAAATCTAAAGTGGTGGCCTGTAAAGGCTTTTAGAGTGTTGCCTATGAATATTACAAATATAAGTAATTTGTCGCCTTTGCACAGAAGTGCACAATTTTAACCACCTCCCGTCCGGCCGTTGTATATAAACAGCTGGACGGAGGCAGTGCAGGGGTGGGTGGCCGTTTATAAACGGCCTCCCCGCCCCCTGCTTGTGCACGCTCCCTGGGAGCGTGCAGCACCCGTGATCCGGTGCCTGCTGTGTCCTCCGGACACAGTGGAACACCAATTGTTGTAAGGGACCTCTGTGCTAGGTCCTGATCATGTGATCACTAATTGGCCAATCAGTGATCACATGCAGAGTAGTAAGCAAGATGTCACCTCTGACATCATTGCTTACTACCTGTGAAATCTGTGAATGATCACAGAGGTCACATGGTACAAGGCTATTCACAACAGCCTTTTACCATGTGACAAGCTGTGACCAATCACAGTTCACTCAGTATTTCTCAATGGCTGCAAGAATGCAGCCAGAGAGGAGAAATTATTGCTTTTACATCCTTTATGGGTGTAAAAGCAATGTGTAAAAAAAAAATCTTCATCACCCCCCACAAGTAGTACAGTGTCACCATGGTGACGCTGTGCTGCTAGGGTGACAGTATGTAAAAAAAAAAAAAACCCCCAAAAAAAACCATAAATAATATAAAAAAAAAAAATTAAAAAAAAATTTTAAATTATAATTTTTGGTTATAAACTAATTTGGGTTATTTGTTTTTACTAAAAAGATAACTGAATAAATTTTGGACAAGAATTATGATGAAATATTATTTATTTGCAAAAAAAAAACACTTTTTCAAAATTTTTGGACATTTTCATTTATATAGCAAAAAAAATTATAATCCCAGTGGTGAATAAATACCACCAAAATAAAGCTTTATCTGTCTCAAAAAAATGCTACAAATTCACAGTGTACAGTGTTGCATGACCGCTCAATTGTCATTCAAAGTGTGATAGCGCTCAAAGCTGAAAATTGGCCTGGACAGGAAGGGGGTAAAAGTGTCCGGACATGAAGCGGTTAAAGCATATCATATTTGGTATCCATTTACTTGGCATAACACCATCTTTTATATGTTATCAAGCAATTGGGCAATATATTGTGTTTTTGTGCATTCAAATTCTAAAAAGTGTTTTTTTTTTTTCCAAAAAATTTGTGTTTGAAAAATCGCTGCACAAATACTGTGTGACATACAAAATTTCAACAACCACCGTTTTATTCTCTAGGGCCTCTGCTTTACAAATATATATAATGTTTTTTGGGGGTTCAAAGTAATTGTCTAGCAAAAAAAGTGATTTTTTTTTTTAATAAACAAAAAGTGTCAGAAAAGGCTTGGTCTTCAAGTGGTTAGAAGAGTGGGTGATGTGTGGTATAAGCCTCTACTGTTGGCCCTGAAATGCCAGGACAGTAGAAGCCCCTTCCCCCCAAATGACCACTTTTTGGAAAGTAGACACTCCAAGGTATTTGCTAATAGGCATGGTGAGTATTTTGCAGATCTCATTTGTTTCCACACGTTTTTGAAAGACGAAGAAAAAAAATTAAAATTTATTTTTTCTTTTCTATTCTATTTCAAAACCTGTGACAAAAATTATATCTGCAAAATATTCGCCATGCCTCTTATCAAATTCTTATCAAATTCCTTGGGATGTCTACTTTCCAATTTGGGGAGGCAGTGTTTTGCACTATCCTGGCATTTTAGGGCCTCCAAAACTATGATAGGTAGTGAGGAAGTCATATAAGGAAATATGCCCTTTGAAAGTCTGGAGGTGGTCATTGGATTTTGGGGGCCTGTATGTAGCTACGCTGACAAAAAAGTCTCTCACATTCTCTCTAAAATTTTAAAGCATGTCATGTTTGGTATCTATTTATTTGACTTAATATCATCTTTTACATTTTATCAAACAATTGGCCAATATATAAGTGTCAGAAATGGCTTGTCCTTCAAGTGGTTTGAAGTGTGTGTGATGAGTGGCATAAGCTAATGTTGGCCCTGAAATGCCGGGATAGTAGAAGCACCCTCCCCCCCCCCCCCCCCCAGATGATCCCTTTTTGGAAAGTAGACACTCCAAAATATTGGCTAAGGGGCTTGGTGAGTATTTTGCAGATCTCATTTGTTGCCACAAGTTTTTGGAAAATGATGAAAGAGAATAAAAATGTATCTTTTCAAAAGCCTGTGACAAAAAATGATATCTGCCAAATATTCAGCATGCCCCTTATTGAATTCCTTGGGTTGTCTACTTTCCAAAAAGGGGTCATTTGGGGAGGGGGGGGGTTATACTATCCTGGCATTTTAGGGCCTTCTAAACTGTGATAGGTAGTGAGGAAGTGATATGAGGAAATATGCCCTTTGAAAGCCTGAAAGTGGTCATTGGATTGTGGGGGCCAGTATGTGGATAGGCTGGCAAAAAGTCTCTAACATGTGGTATCCCCATACTCGAGAGAAGTAGCAGAATGTGTTTTGGGGTGTTATTCCACATATACCCATGGCATGCATGAACAACATATCATTTAACTGACAACTCTATGGGAAAAAAAAAAACATTTTGTCCTTTTCCAAAAATGTGTGGCAAAAAATAAAATGTTCCATGTACTCAGCATGCCACTCAGCAAATTTCTTGGGGTGTCTACCTTGCAAAAAAGGTAATTTTTTTTTTTTTTTTAGCACCTCAAAAAACGATAGGCAGTCAGAAAGTAAAAGCTGCGTAAATTCCAATATACATACCATAGCAGGGGCGGACTGACAACTCATGGGGCCCCCGGGCAATAGGGGATCATGGGCCCCTATGTCCTTGCCCAAAAAAAGCTTATGAAAAAGGTACCAGGGGCATCTCATGGGCCCCCTACTGACCCTGGGCCCTCGGGCAGTGCCCGAGTTTCCAAATGGTCAGTCCGCCCCTGTACCATAGTTTGTAGATGCTATAACTTTCACACAAACCAATTAATATACTGTACACGTATTAGGATTTTATTTTACCAAAGACATGCAGCAGAATACATTGTGGCCTAAATTTATGACTAACTTTGAGTTTACTATATATTTTTTATAACAAAATACAATTACAATTTTTGGTCTTTTTTTGTATATATCACAAAAAATAAAAAAACCCATTGGTGATCAAATACCACCAAAAGAAAGCACTATTTGTGTGAAAAAAAGGGACATACATTTTGTTTGGGTACAGCATCGCATGACCGTGCAATTACCAGCTGAAATATTGCAGTACTGAATAGCAAAAAATAGCCTGGTCATCATGGGGGGGGGGGGTAAATCTTCCAGAGGGCAAGTGGTTAGGCTTATTCTTATCATTTAATTCAGTAATGATAAATACATTATGCTTGATATGTTTACAGCACCAGAGATGTTTAATTTGTAACCCACAATATACTAACTTGGTTTAATTTGAAATGTATAAAGTTGTGGCCAACCCCTTTTCACACTGTTCACCTGCATCCAAATAAATATTGTAAGCTATTTAATATTCGATATGATGTTATGTCTAGACTGGTACAGTTAGTTGTGACATTCTTCCAGAAGTCAGGTTATAGCAGGTATTGTAATTAGCTGCAATTAATAGAGTCTATATGGAGCTGATATGATTACATAACCATTCTCAGAAATGTCAATATATTACCCGTAATACTGAGAAATAGGGAGAGATGCCTCTTCAAAGAATTACACTCAATACACTTATAGATACATTTAGTCAAAAAATCCACTATTAACCAGACTCAAGCACTGTTTCTATTCAATGGTCACGTTCTTTGCGACTATAATTTAATCAAGTGGAATGAACTTTTGAGATGAATATTACATTCAATTACTGCTTACAATGAAAGGAGATGAAGATAATGTGTGGTAGAAGGATGCTTAACCATTACACAGAAGAAACAATGCTTCAGGCATAGATGAAATACATACAGTATACGAGTGTTGATTTACCAGCCAAAGGATTTTTATTTCTACCCATCTAGATCTGTCTGTGTAGCTGTCACAAAGCACAGTTCTGTCTGGGTGGTGGGGGGATCTGATCTTTCTCTACTGTAGTTTCATTTTTACTTACAGGTGCCCCCTTCGCATGACTAAACAGTAAATGGGTAACAGTAACACACTGATTAGCTCATCTCCCCCCTAGATCAGCATGCTTTCTGCACTACAGCACAACTGATTTCATTCTTGTGCTGCTTCCCCCTTTCCTTCCTTGATCTCAGTTGTATAAGGACTGCAGGAAGTTGATACCAAGTAAAATATAGTTTTATATATATATATATATATATATATATATACACACACACACACATATATACTGTATATACACACACACACACAGGTGAAACTCGAAAATTTTGAATATTGTGCAAAAGTTCATTTATTTCAGTAATGCAACTTAAAAGGTGAAACTAATATATGAGATAGACTCATTACATGCAAAGCAAGATAGTTCAAGCTGTGATTTGTCATAATTGTCATGATTATGGCTTACAGCTCATGAAACGCTAAATCCACAATCTCAGAAAATTAGAATATTACATGCAATCAAAAAAAACAAGGATTGTACATAGAACAATATCGGACCTCTGAAAAGTATAAGCATGCATATGTACTCAGTACTTGATTTGGGCCCCTTTTGCAGCAATTACTGCCTCAATGTGGCGTGGCATGGAAGCTATCAGCCTGTGACACTGCTGAGGTGTTATGGAAGACCAGGATGCTTCAATAGCAGCCTTCAGCTCTTCTGCATTGTTCGGTCTCTCATCTTTCTCTTGGCAATGCCCCATAGATTCTCTATGGGGTTCAGGTCAGGCGAGTTTGCTGGCCAATCAAGCACAGTAATCCCACGGTTATTGAACCAATTTTTGGTGCTTTTGGCAGTGTGGGCAAGTGCCAAGTCCTGCTGGAAAATGAAGTCAGCATCCCCATAAAGCTCGTCTGCGGAAGGAAGCATGAAGTGCTCCAAAATCTCCTGGTAGATGGCTGCGTTGACCCTGGACTTAATGAAGCACAGTGGACCAACACAGTGGACCAACACCAGTAGATAAAGGGTGGGTAAGTGAGCGCAAAACAGATCAGGTGAGCAGCTAACATACAGGGTAATCCTCAATACCTTGGAATATAATGTAAATCCTCAATACCTTGGAATAATAATTGGAGTTGAGAGCCAGAGGGGGCCTGGACAGCGTTGGACCTGTGACCCAGATGTCCTCATATGACCAGATGTTGCCCAGGCTGCTGACCAGACCATGACGCCCAGTTATTTGCATACAATGCTTACATTGTGTGTACTTGTGGTAAGCGCACAACCTCACTAAATTATTTTCTTATTCTACTGAATGGGATTTGGAAACACCATTGGATCATATCCAGCTTTCTTTTTGCTACACTATATGAACTATTGAATTTTTACTATATATGGTGACACCCTCCTTGCTTGTTATTCATTCCTTAGCGCTACATACCCCATTTACATTTTTAAACACCAGTAGATGACATGGCTCCCCAAATCAACACAGACTGTGGAAACGTCACACTGGACTTCAAGCATCTTGCAGTGTGTGCCTCTCCATTCTTCCTCCATATTCTGGGTCCTTGGTTTCCAAATGAGATGCAAAAGTTGCTCTCATCAGAAAAGAGGACTTTGGACCACTGAGCAACAGACCAGGTCTGTTTTTCTTTAGTCCAGGTAAGACGCTTCTTACGTTGTTTGTTGTTCAGGAGCGGCTTGGCAAGAGGAATATGACATTTGAAGCCCATGTCCAGGATCCGTCTGTGTGTGTTGGCTCTTGATGCACTGACTCCAGCCTCAGTCCACTCCTTGTGAAAGTCCCCAACACTTTTGAATGGCCTTTTCCTGACAATCCTCTCCAGGCTGCGGTCATCCCTGCTGCTTGTGCACCTTTTTCTTCCACACTTTTCCCTTCCATATAACTTTCTATTAATGTGCTTTGATACAGCACTTTGGGAACATCCAGTTTCTTTTGCAATTACCTTTTGAGGCTTTCCCTCCTTTATGGAGGGTGTCAATGATGGTTTTCTGCACAACTGTCAGGTCAGCAATCTTTCCCATGATTGTGATTCCTACTGAACCAGACTGAGAAACCATTTAAAGGCTCAGGAATCCTTTGCAGGTGTTATGGCTTATTTAGCTGATTAGAGTGGGACACTGAGCCGAGAATATTGCACCTTTTTACAATATTCTAACTTTCTGAGATTGTGGGTTTGGGGTTTTCATGAGCTGTAAGCTCAAATCACGGCTTGAACTATCTTGCTTTGCATGTAATGAGTCTATCTCATATATTAGTTTCACCTTTTAAGTTGCATTACTGAAATAAATTAACTTTTGCACGATATTCTAATTTTTCGAGTTTCACCTGTGTATATATATATATATATATATATATATATATATACCTGCGCTAATAAAAATTACAGTAAATGATCAATAATCAAAGAACGAAGTATATAACATATAGCAGCTGAATACAAACACCCTGATACTAGGCAATAAACAATATATACATAAAAGTGCAGCGCTTAAAAAAGTGACAGATAGTTATAAGAGTGAATAATAATGATAATAGTGAAAAAATGTGTCAAAAAAATAGTCCATCCAAAAATAAAGAAAAGTCCTAGAGGCTGGTGATGAAACAAAGGAAATCCGAGGACAGTTGTTGTATCATCAACCATTCAAAAGGCTTACCAGAAAGGCATGACCCCCTGTTAAGAGTGGCCATTAGCCTACAGGGCACTTATACCCCCGTCCTGCCCAGGCCAGTTTTCAGCTTTCAGTGCTGTTACACTTTGAATGACAATTGCGTGGTCATGCAACACTGTACCCATATGAAATTTTTATCATTTTTTTGTGACAGATAGAGCTTTGTTTTGGTGGTATTTAATCACCGCTGGGTTTTTTATTTTTTCTTAAACAAACCAAAAAACACTGAAAATTTTGGGGAAAAAATGTTTTTCTTAGTTTTTGTTATAAAATGTTGTAAATAAGTGATTTTTCTCCTTCACTGATGTGCGCTAATGAGGCTGCAGTGATGGGCACTGATAGGCTGCACTGATGGACACTGATAGGTGGCACTGATGAGGAGGCACTGGTAGGTGGCACTGATGGGCATTGACAGGCATCACTGATGGGCCCTGAAAGGCAGCACTGATATATGGCACTGATAGGTGGCACTGACTGGCACTGTTAGGTGGCACTGACTGGCACTGTTAGGTGGCACTGATTGGCAGCACTGATAGGTGGCACTGATGGGTGACACTGAAAGGCAGCTCAGATGGGCACTGATATGTGGCATTGATGTGCACTGGTAGGCACTGATATGTGGCATTGATGAGGCACTGATGGGCACTGGCAGGTGGCATTGATGAGCACTGACAGCTGGCACTGATGGACACTGACAGGTGGCACTGCTGGGGCTACACAGATCATCAGGGCACACTGATCATCAGTGCCCTGATGATCTGTGTACATTTCCCCTCCGCGGAATGCCGATTACCGGCTCTCCTCTCCTCACGAGCTGTCAGCGTGACAGCTCGTGAGGAGAGAAATGCAGAAAACCGGCATTTCCCTGTTTACATGCGATCAGTTGTGATTAGGCACAGCTGATCAGATGACCGAGCCAACATCTTCGGCTCTTTCCGTGGATTGGTGATCCGCATGCGCGGTGAGAATGGGAGGACGTCATATGAACGAGAACGAGGCAGTTAAACAACCCAGAAAGCCGGTCACTCAAATCCTCCTCCAGATCACCAAAAGAACAGATAAAGATGTTTCAAACAATGGATCTTACTTAGGGTAGCTGAACCACTCAGGATAAGACTCAAACTCCTAGTAGGAAACGTGTAAAAAAAGAGTGCTCCACATAGTGTAAAGAGCGAAATAAAAACGAGAAGCACACAAACCTTGCGCATTACCTCAGTAAACACAAATTTATTAATAAGAAAGGTACTCACAAACAGCTAATAAAATCAGGCATGTAAGTCCTCACAGGGACTTCAGAGATAGAGAGCCAGCGCGAGTCCCATCGTGCGGGTAAGCACTCAGTTCTAGTGACGCGTTTCGAAGGCCAAACCTTCTTCATCAGAGCTCAAAGAAGCTCGAAGAAGGTTTGGCCTTCGAATTGCGTCAGTGAAACTGAGTGCTTACCCCCACGATGGGACTCGCGCTGGCTCTCTATCTCTGAAGTCCCTGTGAGGACTTACATTCCTGATTTTATTCGCTGTTTGTGAGTACCTTTCTTATTAATAAATTTGTGTTTACTGAGGTAATGCGCAAGGTTTGTGCGCTTCTCGTTTTTCTTTCGCTCTGTAGTGTTGGTCGGGCTTCCCCAGCCTTGTTTGGAGCCGCACAACCTTTGAAGCACTAGTGGTCGCTGTTTTTTCCAGTTCTGGTTCCATCTATGTGCCACCCGCCTGGGTCCTAGAGCGCAGAAGAATTCGTGTTTGGCCACATAGTGTAAAACCCATTATAACAACATTTATTTAAAGTACGGTTGCACTCACATAAAAGCTAACATCATTAGTTATTGATAGGAAAAAAATCCAATTTTCCAGTTTCCAAAATGGCCACCAATATGTTATTGATGACATCAAGGGAAATGGACGGTTAAATCATCCTGTGGACACCCAAGGAAAAGACAAGTAATCCTCCCAAGCCGATCTGCCTGTACATGATGGCTCCAATCACTCTTATCAAGTAGAATTCTTTTGTGTCCTAATATATTATGATTGAGTTTTGTGTAAATCTTTTAATTTGCACCTTTACCACCTTTATCGGGTAAAAAAATACCAATGACCTCCTATGGGAATGGGAAATCTAATCTAGATACTTCTTTCATTACTATTTTTTACCATTTGTCTAATGTGCATATTGTGTATATAAAGATTTCCAATTTTACATGTTGTAGCTCATATACCCTTATGTTATAATAAATTACACAATACTTTGTCTACATTGAGATCTGCTCATCTTGCTTTGTTAACAGTTTTGTGGGAAAAAAAAATGTGAAGATGGCAAATTCTGTGCTTCAAAAGATTAGTTGTGTAACTCACATCGCTTTAAATATTTAGTTAGGGTAACTAGAACAGCTTTGAATGCAGCATTCACTGCTTTTCTTCGTTTCACCTGCAATTGGGAATTAAAACTTAAAGTGGTTGTAAAAAGTAAAAGGTTTTTTTTTACCTGCATTCTATGCAGTAAGGTAAAAAATGTTCTGCATGCAGCTCCCCCCCCCCAAACCCTCTAAATACATACCTGAGCCCAATCTTGATCCAGCGATGTGCAAGAGAGCAAAGGCTTTCTTGGCTCTCTCCCTTCTCATTGGCTCAAATACAGCAGCTGGAGTCATTGGCTTCCACTCTTGTCAATCACAACCAGTGACAAGGGAACAGGGTCCAGGTCCGAGTTGTTATATGGACAAATAGATACCTCAAAAGCGTATCCTGATAATTTGTATGCTAGTGCAAATTAAAAAAGTATCTCGGACAGTACTCAGTTGTTTCTGTTGCAAGTGCACTAATACGGCTACAATCACCTCAAGCATGTGTTAGTAAAATTGTAGGTATCGTCAAAATTGCTAAGTGCATCCAGATGAATTATACCTTGTTTTTTTCAGGAAGGACTGGGCCTTCATTTGGTGGTAAATAGTAATGAATATCTCCTGATTTTTTAAATATCAAAAGAAAACTGGCCCCAAATATTGTAAAAGAAAAATTTAGCTGTATATTTCTTACAATCACCATGACCTACCACCAAAAAAAACCCAATACAAACTCTCCAACCTCTGATGATTGCCGCAATATCACATATGTGTATGTATTTGTTGTTTGTAGCCATAGTAAGGCCCAGAAACAATAAGGTTTTTTTTTAATTCTATCTAACACACACTGACATCAACATTAAAGCCAGCCATTCATGGATCGAAATTTGGCTGGTTCAGCAAGGACAGGATGAAATTAAATCTATGTAAGAGCTTGCTAGTTGCACACAAGTCAATATATCAGGTAACTTCTGTACAACCAGCCTGTCAGGTTTTTCTAAAAAAAAAAAAACAGTCAGTGCCTCCAGCTGTAGCTGGCAACAATGATCATTGTATTCTGCCGGCAGAGAAGGGTAAAACAATAGGGCTGCACAAAGGATTTCCCCATCAGTACCGAGTGTGTTGATGGTGGAAATCGGTGAGTTGAACAAAAAAATGTATATTGCATTGCCTGCCAACTGACACCGATATTATATTAAAAAATGTTTGTTTCTAACTCTGCCTGAAACACATTGACCTTGATCTTTGACCCTGACCTAGATAAAACTCTGATCTAGATATTTTGTTTATCTATTTTACCATAACACAACATTTTTTTTTGTTCTCAACTGGGAAGGAGAAAAAGATATATAATGTATCTTTTTCTCCATTCAAGAGGATAAAGAACACAGGAACATGCTATACAGTGACTGATCATTGTGAAAGCCACTAACAGACTGTCACAGAGATCTTCCCTGCTCCTGATCATTAGATCATCAGAGGGATCCCTCTGATGAAGTCACCTGGGCATGACACAACGCGTAAGCTTTGGGCAGACAAGAATCATTCGTTTACAATAAGGAAGTGCTGCCTGCACCTGATGATTTTATCTTAAGGCGTTTTATTCTTATGCTACATGTGAGTGCATTACTGCTTCTCAATAAACATTTGTGTTAGTACATACTGCACTATGGGAGTGTTCTTTGTTTCCTCCTAAGGATAGAAATCTATTACCTCCATTACTCTTAAAGGGACCGATCCCTAGCTCTAGTTTGGCATACTATTGAAAATCCAAAAGTGTCTAACTACCACCATATGGCTGTTGATTGGAAAAGTGAAGAATGTGTTACCCATTTGATAGTACAAAGAACATTTTCATTGCTCTGAGGTGAGAGTTCTGTGAGCACTGAGGTGACACAAGCCGCATGATATATATTACTTCACTTGATGGTGTTTAGGATATTAGCACATGAAGAAAACACAGGAATCATTGGAAAAACTTTATTGTTGATTATTATTGATGATTTCACTTGTATGGACTTATTTATGGACATTTGAATTAAGGAATATTATTTTCTCTATTTTGTTATGTTCATTTATTTAGCAGCGCAGCATCACTTGCTTATATAAATAGGATTGCTTCATTCTCTGGCATTCACCTGGTCTAAATGAAAAATTATAAGAGTGAAAACTTTTGATGGAATAGAAGGGACACCACCCTATACGCTAGGTGGAAGGCAGAACCTGGTACCCTATTACAAATGAGGTGGAAATGTCCCAAACTATTCAGATACTGGAGGCAGATTCTTGACATATTGCACAATATGCCATTCATATACATTACCTATGAACCTAAGAAATTGCATTCTAGGATTGCTAGGTGAGGAAAATTATTCTCTGAAAAATTATACCACCACTCTCCGTAATGAGATACTTGATCAAACTTGTAATCTACTGCTAGAAAACACTCCTGTGTTCAGACTACGTGTACGCACAAGTATGAATTATCCAACTTAACAGATGGGGGGGGATTTACTAAAACTTGTAATAAACAATAATTTGTTGTAGCGCTACAATAAATAAGTGAAATAGTATATGAGTAAATTCAATAAAACCATGTATAAACATAAATATAAGTGGTGGATCCTTCAGGGATCTTTATGAAGTGAAACAACAAGTGGTAACGTGCATATATATGTCTGGTCCCAAAATGGACCCAAAAATAAAGTGCAAAAACGCCCAATCCCAAATTGGGATAAATAAACAAAGTGACACAGTGAACCCCAAATGATGGGATAACCTTAAATCAAAGTGACTGGTGCTGAGACCCCAAAAACATAAACATGTATCAAATACACATTGCAAATAATAAACACAGTGATCAATATGAATGAAAACCACGTATAAAATGTTATAAGAGTCCAATAAAAGTGCAAAAATTGTGCAAAAAACACAAATAGATGTGCTTCAATCTTCAACAGCAGGTGGTTGTAGTGCTTGTGCCAAACGCAAGTGGATAGATATCCTTAAATGGCAGAAATGCCTCCTCACCTCCTTACCGCGACCCTTAGGGCCAAAAACGCCTTATGGATCACCCTAGATCCGACACAGCAGATAGCTCTGCACCATACACCTTCACATTAAACAGGCTCCAGTGGCTCCACATACCCTCAATGGTAACTTGCTTACAGCATTAGTTCCCCTTCCAAAGGTAGATCACCGCAGTACAGCCCACTTGTTCATGTATACCATATGAAGGCCATGAAAAAACAAGAGAGACCTCCATAGTGCAACACCATTTAATGGTAATAAATAAGGGTAAAAACGCCAAGTAAAAACTCACATTAGGGATGATACAATCAAGCAGTCACACACACATGCTATGGGTGTACTCTGTAGAATACTGGGTGTAGCAAGATGGCGTCCGCCGGAAACACGTCACCGCGCATCTACGCGTTATGTCACGCTCCGTACGTGACTTCCTCAGGATTCTGAATGTGAGTTTTTACCCTTATTTATTAACATTAAATGGTGTTGCACTATGGAGGTCTCTCTTGTTTTTTCATGGCCTTAATATAGTATACATGAACAAGTGGGCTG